AAAAAAAAAAAAAAAAAAAAATGTGAGTTTGATCCCTGGTACTGAATAAAAGAAAAAAAAATTGTGTGTGTGAGTGTGTGTGTGGTGTGTGTTTGACTATTACTCGGCCATAAGAGTAAATTTGATTCATTTCTAGGAAAATGGATACAAGCTACTGAACTAAATCAGATACAGAAGGTTAAATATAGCATAATTTATGTTACATGAGAAACCCAAACTATAAACAACTTAAAAAGCAAAATGAAAGAAAGATGATAGAAAACAGGGAGGTAGACTTTGTGGTGATGGGAAGGGGATCTGAGAAAGAGGAGAAGACATGCTGGGAGAAGAGGAAAGAAAAATAATCAAGATGCACTATGTAGATGTGCCAGTTCCTAAGATGAATGTATTTATTGTATATCACAAAAATTACGAATAAAAAATTTTGTAAGTTCGAGCCCCGGTACCCCCCCAAAAAATTGTAAACTAAGAGATAACTCCTATCTGAATTTTGTTTTCCCCATCTCTAAAATGAAAATAATAGTAGTGACCTTTCTCAGAGCATGAGAATTAAATGAGGTGATATATGTTAAATGTTTTAGGGGGTTTTTTTGTTTGGTTGGTTTTGGTTTTTTTGTTTTTGGTACCAGGATCAAACTTGGGACCTTGTGCTTACGAGGCAGGCGTTGGCACCACTGAGCTAAATCCCCAGCCCCATGTTAAATGTTTTAGACAGTGTCTGGCACATAGTAAATACTAAATACAGGAAACATTCACTGTATGAGAAACTAGCATACTAAATAAAAATTGTTGTGAGCTTGGACACTTTATATGGGAGTCCTAGCCCTTGCCACTTTTTTATGACCTTGAACAAATTACTTCTACCATTACTGCCTCTAACCTTAAACTGACATACGAAGAGTGGGATCAGTTATATCTGTAAGTTAACGTATGTGAAGTACTTAGCTCACTAAGGTTAGAGGCAGTAACAGTGGTAGTAATAGCAGTAATTGTAAAAGCAGCAGTGGAGATTAGTTCTTTCTCCAGTACATATGGGAACTCTGACAAATTCCT